GACCGTCTTAAAATTAAATTTCCCCCTTTTTTAACAATTTGCTTTGAAATAATTATGGTCATGGGAAATTGCAGAGAAATATACAGGCAATCTCTTGTACCCCTTCCTCAGTCTCTCCCTTATTTTATACAACTCTTATACATCAAAAATCAAAACACTGTCAAAAATCCAAAAACCTGATTTTTATATGAATGATTCTCCCATTATCCTTACAGTCATTGTGTGTGTGAACACACACAGAGTCGTGTGGATGGACTCACGTGTGCAGCTTTGTTTCCGGTTGTTGGCTTGAACTCAGGGCCTGGGTACTGTCCCTGAGCTCTTTTGCTCAAGACTAGCATTCTACCACTTTGACCCACAGCTCCTCTTCCAGTTTTTCAGTGGTTAACTGGGAATAAGAATCTCATGGGGGACTTTTCTGCCCACAGTGGCTTTGAACCATGATTCTTAGATCTCAGCCTCCTGGTAGCTAGGGTTGCAGGTATGAGCTACCAGCGCTGGGCATATGTGCAACTTTATGTAATATTATTACAGATACAGTCTTGTGTAATCACTACTATAATTGATCAAGATACTCAACTGCAACAATCATGACAAAACTCCCTTTGCCCTTTTATAACTTGTATATCTTTACCCATCTCTCTCATCTGTATCCTAGCAACCAATAATTTATTCTTCATCATAACTATATCATAAATGTATATGGAATTCTTTTCGTTCATAATGTCCTATAGCATGGACATGCCACCAGCTAACAACTCATACACTGAAGGATATTTGGGTAGATTTTGAGTCTATTACTAATAAAGCTGCATTCATATACAAAAGTAAACTTACTTTTCCAAGATAAATTTATTATTTAATATTTTTATTATCTTTAAGTAATTTTTACATGAATGTCATTCAACAAAGCAGTTTATGAGTACAATGCATCTGGATCGACATCACTCCTCCAAAATAAATTTATGAGTATAGTTGCTGGCACCCATGCTGAGTAGCTTCATTTTCCCAAAAATTCCACATTTTAGTCAAATGAAATTATTTGTACTGTTTCTTCTGTCTCGTCATTTATAATCCTGTTATCATTATTTGAATATTTATTATTCAAAGCCCATCTTGAGGGAAAAATTAGTATAAATTGTTTTCATTGAAGTTAGTAGAGACAGAGAATAGGGATGGAGGAATGAAGGAACAACGTAAGATATGACATAGTATTTCACTAATCATATCTCAATAAAATGTTCTGTCCCCTATAAACCTGTATCTTCTTTTTTGTCAGTCATGAGACTTGAACTCAGGGCCTGGGCACTGTCCCTGAGCTCTTTTGCTCAAGGCCAGCACTCTACCATTTTGAGACACAGCACCACTTATGGTTTTTTGTTTGTTAATTAGAGATAAGGGTCTCATAGATGATTCTGTCCAGGCTGGCTTTGCACCATGTTCAGATCTCAGCCTCCTGAGTATCTAGGATTACAGGCATGAGCCACCAGCACCTGGTTAAACCTGCATCTTATTTGCTTTCATAAAATCTATCTTCTGCTGGGTGCCAGTGGATCATGCCTATAATCCTAGCTACTCAAGAAGCTGAGGTCAGAGAATCATAGTTCAAAGCCAGCCCAAGACAGAAAAGTCCATAGGATTCTTACCTCCAATGAACCACCAAAAAGCTGGAAGTGGAACTGTAGCTCAAATGGTAGAGTGCTAGCCTTGAGCACAAAAGCTCAGGGATAGTGACCAGGCCCTGAGACTAGAACACACACACACACACACAAAATGTTCTGAATGAGAGAGGAATAAAGGGCAAAGATAGTCATAAGACTCAATATACATATATAGAAATGGAACTAAAAAACGAGCAAATGGGTGGGGTTGGGATGGATATGAGGGGAGAATAATGGGAAGAATCACAATGATCAAGATACATTTAACACAGAAATTGGCACGCTGAATTGAAACAAATAAGATAATAAAAAATTAAAATTTTAAAACATCAAGAACAGATGCTCCTCAACTTACAATGGGGGTAATGTTCATCAGTTGAAAAGGTTAGTGATTCATTTAGGTATTATTAGATTTGGTTAACCAGCAATATGGTGGTTAACAACACAGTATATACACAGTATCAGCAGCCTACCCTCATGATCTCATGGTTAACTGGGAGCTCCCGCCTGCTGCTACTATCCAACATCACAAGAGATGTGTCCTATTAATAGTCTTGAAAAAGATTAGTATTCAAAATTTAAAATAAGATTTCTAAGCTGGGTGCTAGTGGCTCACACCTGTAATCCTAGCTCCTCAGGAGGCTGAGATCTGAGGATTGTGGTTCAAAGCCAGCCCTTGCAGAAAAGTCTATAAGACTCTTATCTCCAAAACACAACTCAAAAAAGCCAGAAGTGGCATAGTGGCTCAAGTGGAAGGGCACTACCTGTGAGCACAAAGAGGCTCAGGGATAGCGCCCAGGCCCAGAGTTCAAGCCCCAGGACTGGCCAAAAAAAAAAAAAACCAAAAAACTCATACTTGAATTTTTCAATATTCCTATAACAATTGTGTCGGATTTTCTACTATATTTTTCCTTTTTTTTCTTTTTGTTGTTCATGGGGCTTGAACTCAGGGCCTGAGTGCTGTTTTTGCTCAAGGCTAGTGCTCTACCACCTTGAGCCACAGCACTACTTCTTGATTTTCTACTATAAAAAGATTTATTATAATCGGGTAACCTGATGAGGTGTTTTCAATTATCTGTTGCATTTTTTATCAACAAGCCAGTTTTTCTGAATATGAACTGCCCTGCCAAGCTCTACAAGTAAACTACTTTTCTTGGTGTATTTGTGCTTCTAAGTCTTCCTTTCACATCATTCTCAACCATGAGATGATATCTAGTTTTACTCTATTGTAAATCATATTGTAGTACATAACTTGTAAATGCCTCCATGTGCATGTAGTGACAATATCTCAAACAGATATCCAAAAAAGGACTTGAAAGAACCAATGATGTACACATTTTTAATATATTCTGCCAAACTGCTGTCCAAAGAACTGTTCCAATTTATACTCCCCATCATTATATGAGAGTCCCTAGCTTCCTACACATCATTAACATGTGAGATTACCACTATTTTTTTTAATCTAATGGGTAAAATGCTCCATTGTTTCAACTCCATTTCTCTAATTACTACCTATTTTGAACAGAATGTCTATTGACCATTTATATTAATTATTATCCCAACTCTTGGTTCTTATCTTCTGTTCATTTGCAATGTACTCTGATTAATAGTTCTTTGTTGTGGAGCTTAATTTTCTGTTATATGTGGTATTCTCTTATTACAACCTATCACTAGCCTTACTTTGTTTATACTATCATTTGTTTTATAAAGTATCAAACTTTTATGTAGTCACATTTATCAGCCACTTATCAGTCACTTCATTCTTTCATGACTTCTGGTATTTCATCTTGCTTAAAAAGAACTTCCCACTCCAAAATTATAAACATATTGTCTTTTAATATGTTTGGGGCTTGCTTGTTATATGAAATTTATATATATATACATGAGGTAGGACTTTCTCTAATTCTCAAAATAGTGTTGTCTCAACTGTATACTAAGTAATCTATTTCACTCCTCAATTTGAAATGTTATATTTTCCATATGTTAAGTTATCACACAAAATTGACTATTTCTGGACTTTGTTTTCCTATTCTGTAAATCTGGCCATTTCTATACCAATATTGAAAACTTTTAATGACCAAAGGTCTATAGTATGTTTTAGTGTCTGGTAAAATGGAATCTTCCATATTAGTGTCTTTAAAAGTTAGCTGTTCTCATAAATTTTCTCTTCCATATGATTTTCAAATCAGTATATTAAATACCACTTTAAAATCCTCTGGGAATTTCTCATTGGCATTGCTTCAGTTTTATAGAATAAAAATTGTTTTCTTTAAGACTATTGTACATTTTCAAAATTTAAAAGTACAATATTCACCAAGTGCCTACTACAGGCTAAGTTCCAAAGTAATGAAGGTAATTCTTGTAATACATAAATGTACCAGGGGTGGGATGTGAGCAATCACTACAGTCAATGAAAAAATATCTACAGATATAAACCAGTTCACTAATGGCCATTACAGTACACACCTTGAGGTTTATTTCTGTCTCTGAATTTATTTCTAGTTTTGTTTTATTCCTTTGACCTTACTGCTTTGCCTTTTAAACAAGTGGCAATTTGCTAAGTATTTATACTATGTAAGCGATTATTTTGACCCCATAGGTAAATTTCATCATCATCACAACTATATAGATAAGGAAACTGAAGCTCAAAGAAACTTGCAAAAGTTACATCAGAAAAGATCAGAGAGCAAGGAGGCAGAGAGCCACTCCTCCCTCCCATTTTCAAAGTCCTGATAATCTGCCAAATGTAAAACTCACCTCTGAAATAAGCAAAGGGAATGAAAAACATTCACTGTTGCTTCCTGTTTCATCTCTGGGAACCTGTACCCAGAAAATAATACAAACCGGTGGAGGGAACAAAGCAATGTTCCTCCATCATTGTCTAAGTTGGGACCTGTCAGTCCCTCTCCTTGAACCTAAGGTTAGAAGCCCACTGCATAATTGGCGAGGATCTGTGCTAAATGAAAATATTCAAAAGTATTAAGTAGCTGGGATACTAACGGCTCACACTTAACAGTCCTAGCTGCTCAACAGGCTGTGATCTCGAAGCGAGCCAAGTCAGAAAAGTATACCAGCTCCAAAACCACCACCACCAAGCAGGGATGGAAGCATGGCCCAGGCGGTAGAGCTCTAGCCAAGCAAGCTAGCAGGCACGAGGCCCTAGGTTCAAGCCCCCACACAGGAAAGTAACATGATAACCCCATAACTTCAGGTGACCAGAGGAGTTAAAGCACGCGCGCGGGGGGCCCCGGAGTGCAGACCCAGGGCCCAGGCCTCCCCGTGAGGCGGCTGCTAGGGCAGAGTTGGCCCGTGGTCTGACACGTGTCCCTGGCTTTGCAGAGTCCCAGCCCGGCTCTGATGAAGAAGGCTGCTCGGAAGTCTTCCTCCCCACCGACAGCGACTACGACTCCAGCGACGCCCTCAGCCCCCGAGACCTGGACTTGGTGTACCTGTCTTCGCACGACATCGCCCAGCAGGCCCTCAGCGGCCTCAGCGGCAGCGCCCCCGACGTCCTTCAGATTCATGACATGAAGCCTCCGGCGGGGCCGGGCCAGGACCCGCAGCAAGGCCGGGCCCCGGGCCCAGACCCAGACCACGCGTGCACCGAGGTCCTCCATGGCCTGTCACTCACGGGCTTCGCCCCCAAGAATCACACCAAGATGGCGCCGCCGGGCACACGGCCCGCGGCGCTAGGCTTTCTGGGCAAGCGGAAGCCCGGCAAGCACCAGCACTACGGCGGCTTCAGTCGCCACCACCGCTGGCTGCGCATGCACAGCGAGATGACGCAGTCGCTGTCGCTCTCGGATGGCGTTTACACTCAACACCTCTCCCCAGCCAGTGGCGCATCCCAGGAATCCCGGGAGGCTAAGCCGCTTCCGGGACCCGCGGGGGGCGATGGGCCCAGGGGCCTGCCTCTAGCCCATGCGGCCAGCCTCCCAGAGGAGCGGAAGAGCCGCCTCCAGGACCCCAGGCCGCCTCCTCCCACCCACCGCATCTATGCCGCCCAGGCCTTTGCAGGGGCCCGGCTGGGCCCAGACGCAAAGCCCTGGGCCAGCTTGAGCCCTGTTCCTGCAGGCCGCAGCCGCTTGCGGAGCCCCTCGGGCCCAGAGATGAGCCCTGAAGGTCCAGTGTCCCCAGTGTCGGAAATACTTAGCAGCATGCTTTAGGGAGACACCACCGGCTATCCTTGTGCTACTACTAATTCCTGCGGTTGCCAGTACCATAACCCTAAACCTGCCCCACTGTGTCTCTACCCATTTCCAAGTGTTTTAGACTTTACAAATCCAGAGGTTACTGGTTCAAGACCCTCTTTTTTTTTTTTTCAAGAGGAGGAGAGGCTAGATTTGCCAGTTACCTTCCCAGCTCAGCTTACAAAGAAGCTTTTGTGTCATCGTGATGTCTGAGAGAAGTGATTCAAACATGCAAATCTCTTGGTGGCATCTGTGGCTGAGATGGGCAAATCCAAAGATATACACTCTTAGTACGTAGGCTGGCTCTGTTATAATCTGACTTCTGGGTTTAGGGCTCTTCCATTCATTTGTGATTGGCAAATAGAGTTCTATAGATGGAAACAGGATTGATTTTTCTCCCTAGTCTGTACTTTTAGAAGAGTTTGAGGGGAAAAGAAGTCCTGATGTTGTCTCTCTAGGACAAGAGATCAACTGGGCTTGTGCTGGGTTTCCTGTCAGCTAACCCAGGTCATGCTAAAGTGCAGAGTTCGCAGGACTCCTAAAGTCCAATTTATCCATCCACACTTAACTAATCAAGCCGGCCTTAGCAGCTCTTTCTATGTGAAGATTACAAAAAGTGCTGTGTGAAGACCACAATAAACGAAAGTAGAAGACACTTCTAGGGCTGTCTTTCAAAGATAGAATAGGGTAGGAAGCAGTCCTTCCCACACACTTAGCTCCCATTTGAACATGAAAATGAATAGTAAGTTGTTCCAGAGTACAAGGAAACAGCTGTTATGTGAAAGCCTAAATTATACATAAGAGACAGGGGAGGAAGAAAGACATGAACAAAAACCTATCTCCTATACAAAAACTCCTCTACCGTCTTAAAAAACATAAGGCCAGAGGGACTGTGTCACTGAATATTGTACTGGATCTGCTCCAGATTCGCAAGTGATAAAATTGTCATTGAACAAGAAATTGTTCTGCAGCTATGACTGGTGAGGGATGGGTTCCTCATACTCTACAAACACATCACTCACTCCACATCATAGGTCAAGGAGTACCTGCTTTCCCCTTTTAACTTACGACTCTGTTTTGTCCCAGTATTATTTGGCCCACTGGCCACAGGGTAAATCTTTCCTTAGAAGTATTTTATTCCAGAAGGTGCTCAAAGTCTGGAGATCCTGATTTGTTCACATTGCCTCCTACTTGACTTCTCACAAATGAGAAGCCCAAAAACAAATCAAAGAAATCATGCCACATATTTAGGAAAGGCGTGAGTCTTCTTAGGTCCTGAAGCCAGCACTGTTCAGTTCATTTACATTCTAAAATGGTCCTTTTCTGATTCACAGGCATTTTCATTAAATATTATTCTTCACAGTCCTATTCCTGCCTTCATAGTCCTGCTACTTGACCTCATAGGAGTTCATACAAAGTCCCCTGTTCACAGTGTTTTAACATTTGATTTAAATATAAATAATTTTGCCTGGCTGTAAAGGTATACATTTGGCCCTTGGCCTGTGATCATTAGAAAACTAAAGCCCAGAGGTCAGTCTTTATTTTTAAGATATTTTATACTCAGAGAATCCCTCAATTAATCTTGATCAGAATCACAACAGCTCCTTTTCCATGCCTAGGAGGATTTTAGAATATAGTTTCCTTTTAAATTATGTGCATGGAAGAAGTAAGGATTAAAGCTAGAAGGGACCATAAAATATATCTTAAATACTTAGATTTACCAATAGTGCAGTTAAAGCCAAGAGAGCTGGGTTAGTCACAGTATTAGGCTTAGAACCCCAAGCCATTCCCCATGCTATCAGACTAGGAATTGGTATCTACTTAATCAGCTTTTGATAGTCTACAGGCTACTTACCTATTTTGCATGGTCCACTTATTTTTCTAAATTCAGTCCTGTGTTCAACCTTTACCCAACAAGTTTCCAGCATCCCAGAGCTTCTTGCTGGTGGAGAATGTGAATTTCATGTAATAGACATCTAAGCAAAGCTAACTAGAAAAGCAAATGTGGAAGAAATGTCATCTCAAATTATGACTCCTATTTCAGAACAGAAATGAGTGAGTTATCTGTACTTAATTTCTACTTGTTTCTAATTAGAAAACAGATTGTATATGATGAATGACTTTGTCAGATAAGATTCTGAAATTCTTAAGAACTAAAAAGCCAAGCAATTCTCTGATCCTGACCATTCTACAGACACAGGAGGAAATTTGTGACTGTGAATTGGATTGGAGGTGCTCAACAAGCAGTCAGGGAAGAAACTGGCCCACCTTTTAGATTACTGGACTGAAACTGCAGCAATTTCAATCCACTGGGGACATAGGGTTATATTTAAGTTTCCCAAGAGAAAGAGGCATGTCCATGCACAATAAATTTCAGTGGGCCTATCAATCCACTTTAAAGTTCACTTTACCAGAAATTTTTCCATATAAAAGTGAATAAGTAGCTAGTTGTTCAAACAGATTCACCCAACACTTCTACTTTGCAACACTTGTAAACCTGGTCAGAACTAATTCATTCTTATTATAACTATGTTTTCGGTTGTTTTGTTTATTCATATTAATTACAGACTTCATAATGTCAAGGACCTTTTTGCCTGTTTTACTTTTTCTTTTACATATGTATATAATGAATTTGGTACTTTCTTCTTTTCAAATCTAATTTGAGAGCCTATAAAGAAAACTTTGTTGTCCTGGATCTTCTTTTCCAGAGTTTTTCCAGTATCATTTTTTACTCAGATCTGTATTATCTAGCTTTCATCATTTCTGCAAATCTTTAAAGAAAAATCATTGACTGAAACCATCCCTTTTCTGTCCTTATGGCCCGGCAGAGAACCAGAGACTCAAAGTGTGAAACACATTTCCAGGCCACAAGGAGATCACAATCTGGTCTAAAAATGGAGCCATACATTCACCATACATCTCCCTATTGATGTCTTGGGGAGGCAGTGGCCTGTTACCTCAACCAGGCAGACATAGCACATATTTGGCTAGACATCTTTGACCATGCTACTGCTATCTATTCATGAGGTAGGACAGCTTAGAAAATGCTGGACAACCATTTGCAAGGCTACCACATCCTTTAATTGGTGAGGATACCTGGGAGGCAGTAATTAAAAACATTCCCTCTAGGGAAAGAGTATTTTAAGAAGTGCATACTTAAAGATGAGATCCATTCCATTTTAAGAACATTCACTAATGCTCGAAGCAATAATTACATAGGAGAAAATGGCTCCATTTGGTTTGAAAGTTGAAGCCAGTTAGTAATAATATTCTGCCAGTCCCCTTTCCTGAAGGATCCCAAAGCACTTTATGAAAAGCAGTGACTGAAGCCTTGTTGTACTCCCCTAAAGAGACCTTGTCTGGGAGCCACCTGGCAAACACCTACCCCATCCTTGCCAGGAGATCATGCCAGACTAGTGAAAAAGAGGACTGGCTTCTCATTCATTGTTATCCTGCCACACAAATGTATACCCTGTTGAGGGCTAAGCACTTCTCTGTAAGATGACTTCTTTAAACAAGAAGGCACACCAGAAAAAAATCCCAACTCCTGGACCTCTTCTGCTTCACCCTCCACCCAGGATATATTCGCTTTTTATTTGGAGAACTATCAGCTCAAGCTGTCAAGGGGTCTGTTGTGTACTTAAGTTCCCTAGTTATATTAGCAGTACTGAGAATTTGCTGGTCTCTGAAAATACACACACGAATATATGTATATATGATACATATATGTGATATCATTAGTCTACAGCTTCTTGGCCTTTTAGGTAAATGCTATAGTGGAGGGTGTGCATCTTTGTACACAAGTTTACTAACTAGAACATACTGATTAGAAAGATTAGAGGGGATCCTTGCAGACTCTCAAGAAAACACCCTTTACTCTTAAGGAATTCAAAATAGTACATTGACACCCTGGAGTCTAAATATTTTTTCCAGATGATTCAACAAAGCTTCTCTTTTCAAAGTCATATCTTTAAGGAAACTTTCAAGGGCATCTCTTCATTGGTATTAGGGTGAATGAGGGGAAACCTTTTCTTTGCCTATCCCCTCCCATAAGATGTGCAAACACATGGCTTCATGACTGTTAAAGCTAAACTTCAATGCAGCCTTACAAACAACAAGCGTAGTGTATTTGAAACTATGTTGTACAGCTTGGAAACCTATTCTAAGATCTTAATTCAGAGTTTTTCTGAGGTGTTGAACTTTGCCATTAGCAAAACTTATTTTTAGAAAAAAAATCCTTTGACTGTTTATGAAGCACTGATTTTTGCCATATTTTAGGTCTCTGGTTTTTCCCTGCATCTGCACACAGTGATTATATTTGTGGTTTTTATTGTATCTTCTATTTCCTTTAATAATGAATTTGTAAAATGGCTATTCAAAAGGACAGTCAGTTTTGTTTAACAATAGAGTGAGCAAACTATGAAATTATTCTATTTTAGAAAAGGAAATAGGAGGGGTTTTTGTTGCTGCTGTTGTTGTTGTTACTGTGTTAAACATTATCCTAGGGTCTTTCCCTACTAATATACATGCTTTAAATTTCAACAAAAGCCAATATTTAACATATTAGCAAATGTTGTGAAGCTGTTAATGTTCTTTGCTTTTTACCCCTCAGTCCATGATACAAAAATCTTAATATACTTTCCTAACAACCACTATCTATTTGATTTTCGAAAGGCCAGTCTGGCAAATTATTGTAAGGCATTCTGAATTTCTATGTTGCCTTTGGCTTGTAAAAAATCATATATAGGAAGAATATCCCATGTTTGTTTTGTGGTCATAAGCATCAGTTTGATATTTGTGATTGGAAAATGTGTGTGTGTGTGTGTGTGTGTGTGTGTGTGTGTGTGTGTTTGGGGAGAGATGTTTCATTAAAAAAGCAATTTAAGTAACATTCTATTATGCAGTGTTTGATTGCTTCCTGCCTAATGTATACATAGTAATCTGGCTGATTATTGGTTGTTATTTGTTCCAAATTT